ATATAAAATCTTTAGCTATTTCTTTCTCGTCCAACAAGTCACTAGCAGTTTGTTTGTGCAAGTTTGTGGCATCAAAATGTGCACCTGATTTGATAAGGAGATTCATGATGTCTGGATGGTTGTTCAGAGCAGCAATATGTAGGGGACTGTTGTCATCGGAGTCTCTGACGTTCACATCAGCACCACATTCTATCAGTATGGCAGTAACTTGCAGAGATGGAAATTTGCAAACAGGATACCGCCCTACACATGTAGTATTCTTGTCCACAGCCAGATGAAGAGGGCTGAAGTTATTCTTTCCCCTTGGATGCAGCTTAAGAAATCTGTATATAGTCTGCTTTTTGAAGTAGTCCTGTTCTAGAGTACAAGGAACTTTTTCTAACAAGCAAATTAAGTGCAAAATGATGGAAAGAGCCTTATTTAACTGTAAGGGGTCAGCTGGACACTGAGTCTGTTTGATAGCTCGCTCTATTTCAAGGACACTTTTGCACAATATGCCCATAAGATCATCAAATGTAACAGTGGTACCCAGCAGGCCTTTAGCCCTATCCTGTAACATAAAAGAAAACAGTTCTGCAAAAGATAGTAAGCTGCTGGCGGTCATTGGGCTTAACGGGTCCAAATTGTTCTGTTGCATATCCAGAGCATACTTCCATAGGTTGATGCATCGTTTGAAATTTCCAGAGTCTGCATAGACAGCGCCTCTATACCTAATATAGTAAGAGGTATCAGGATGAGAAGGACCAAGAATACGTTCTCTAATTAATAGTGCCTGCATTCTCATCTCATCAGGATCAGCAATAAGACCTTCTAACTCTTCCGAACTGTTTACCTCCTTGGCATAATCATAAGCCATTATTAGTGTCTGAGGTACTGGTTTGCTAATTATATTAGTCCTATCACTGTACCTCATGTTCATTGCCTTTTTCCAGTATTTTAAAGCCCCAAGTAGATCTCTTTTTTTATCTACAAATGTAGCTCCCAGAAGCTCTAAAGCATTGATCCGCTCTGTTTTGCTAGTCTGTGCATGGTGAGTCAGAAAATCCACAATATTTGTGTGACCAGTCACACTTGCTGAGAGAAGGGGAGTCATTCCATAACCATCCTTTTCCATCTTGGCACAATACATTAGAAGCATCTTCATGATGTCCAAACTTCCAGATTCTGCACAATCATGCAATGCAGTATTACCTTAAGGGGAGGAAAAAAAAAGATAAAATATCTTGAGGGACCAGGATCCAGTGTAATAAATGCATATACTTAAGAACCTACAGAATAACAGGCAGCTCCAACCTACCCTTAATGGGTCAGATTTTAATTTGATTACAAATAAATAAACTGATACCGAGCATCTAAAACTAGTGTCTGACACACAACAAGGATTAAAAAAATACTTGTTAAATTTGTTAAATAAATGAAATGAAATGACCAAATTAGGCATGAAAAGATATCCAAGAATGAAATTCAAAATTAATCCATGGCCTCTTGATATTTTTAAATAATGTTTTCAGGTGCTAAAACCTAATGAAATGAAAATAACCAGCTATTCACAATTTTGCTGATAGTCACTTAATTTCCTGGGTCAGCTTTCATATTTGGAAATAAGAAATCTAGTCCATAATAGCTAAGATTCTCCAATTTGATTCTAATAGTAGTCAGAAATTATTTCTGGTTGTCAAGAGAACTGTTTAATCAAAATTCTTAGTAGCAAAGTACTTTTCTCAAAAAGCTCCCATAGAAAAACAAGTCCACTGAAATCTGAAAAATATGTGGGTGGTTCAATATGAACTTTAAGAGGAGACATCTGAAGTGTCTTTTCATAATAGATTATTTCCCACTATAATTTAATTTTTAAACAGTCTTTTTAGATGTACTAAATGTTCTAACACTGTCTTGTTCTTCCCACATATGGATTAAAACTGACAACAGGCACTGGCACATTAGTAAAAACATGTATAAAACATACTAAGACATTATAACCACCCAACTGTTTTAGCTATGTAAGTTTAATAATAAACATTTTACTAATTATCAAAACAAAAATTATTACAGAGGCCTTTGATATTCACATACAATGTTCACAGAAAATTTCAACAATTAGTCATTTTAGGCATGTGTACAGAAAAGCTTATAACACAGTCGGCTGAAGACAGCTATCCTAAGAAAGGCCTGCCTGCAAAGCCATTGGCTGGAATCTGACAACCATCTGAGAAACAGTTCCAAGACATACATAAAACTTTTCCTAAATGATAAAGGTGGCTCACCATATGCAGTTTATGCTGAACACCTGCATTCCTTCTGAGAGTTTAGAATTTTGGATATGCGCTCAGGAAAGGGTGCCTATATGACCAGCAGCACCTAATAAAAATCTTGGGCTCTGAGTCTCTAATGGGATTTCCTAGGCAGAAACATTGCACACATGCATTTGTGTTGTTAGGGGAAGATTGTAACCTTTGTGACCTCTCATGAGAAGAAGAGAGCATAAAAAACCCTACATACAGATTTCTCTAGACCCCACCTTTGCCTTTCTCATTATGATCTATCTGCATCTCCTTATTACATCACTGTAATAAGTCTTAGCTGTGAGCACAATTATATGCTAACTCACCTCCAAACATGGGGGTGGCCCTGGGAACCCTGGACAAAGCATGTATACTAAGAAAATGGTTTAAACCTATAACTAAAATTCCAAAACAGTAAAGATAATAATAGACTAGGACTTTATCTCTCCACAAGTTTAGTCTTCAATAGTATCTACAGGGACTAATTATTTGGATATGTTTATTCTGATCCAGGATTTCAGTGGTCTACAATGGAATGGTGTCTGATAGAATGTTTAGCAATATGTATGGTAACCAAGCACTGAAAGAGTACAGAACTTCAAACTACTCATGTTAATTTGCTGAAAATAATTTCAATTAAACATAACTACTACACAAAGTATATTTTTTAAACTCTTGAATTAGGAATTCCTAATATTCTTATTTTTCTCTAAGAAATGAAAACGTAAACGAAATATAAATTCAGGGGTGGTCAAAAGTAGGTTTGCAGGTGTTTGTATGCAAATACAATAATTAATAATAATACAAGAATAAACTCTGTATTTTGTGTACTCACAATTATACTTCTGCCTGCCCCATATAAAGAGAAGACTTAGATGGCATTCTCTATTCACTAACAAAATCAAGAATAATTATACAGCAAAAGCCAGTTTTGTTTAAGTTGATGTATTGGGAAAATACAGAATATACATATTTTGAATGCCCCATATATAGAAAAAAAATGTTAGTTTTAAAAAAAAGAATAAGGAAGACTTTCACATTTAGAATTGGCAGAGGTAATATGATCACCTTCCCACTAAGAACTAAAAAAACTGAAAAAAGTGTATTTTTAAAAATCTATTTGACTTCATGTAAGAGCTAACAAGGGAACAACATCCAGGAAAGTAAAGATAATAAGAAAAGTAGAGCCTACAATTTAGGGAAGCTTCCCTCAATGGCTGCTACCAATTCTGGAGAGACAGGTGAAAAACTGAGTGGAGCTTTTGACAACCATACAGAGCTAAAGAAGAAGTTGGAGTCCAGAGCCCACTGAAAAGGGAACTTTGAGCCTGGCTAGTGTGGCTCAGTTGTTGAACATCGAACTATGACCAGGAGATCATGGTTCAATTCCCAATTAGGGCACATGTCTGGGTTGTGGGCTCTATCCCCAGTGGGGGGCATGCAGGAGGCAGCTGATCAATGATTCTCTCTCATCAGTGATGTTTCTAAATCTCTCTCCCTCTCTCTAAAATCAATTAAAACATTAAAAGAAAAAGAAGGGAATTTCAAAATCCCCCTACACTTTGGGTTATAGCTCTGAAGGTCTATACTCTATACTATAGAAGTTAAGGTGAACTGCAAACATCATAGGAACTACAACCAATTTTAATCATCTCAATATTAAAGTAATCCAGGACTGCTCATATACATAATAAAAAACCAAAAAGCAAATGCAAATACTATTTAGAAGAAGATATTATCATACTAAGGCTCAAATTATTTTTTATACAAGAGGCCCGGAGCACAAATTTGTGTACCAGTGGGGTCCCTCGGCCTGGCCTGTGGGATTGAGCCGAAACTGGCTCTCCAACATCCCCTGAGGGGTCCCGGATTGCAAGAGGGCGCAGGCCAGGTTGACGGACCCCACAGGTGCACAATCAGAGTGGGGAGAGACACAGGAGGTTGGCCATCCCAGGAGGGACCACGGGAGGGCTCCAGGGCGTGTCCGGCCCATCTCGCTCAGTCCCGATCGGCTGGATTCCAGCAGCAGGCTAACCTACCGGTCTGAGTGTCTGCCCCTGGTGGTCAGTGCATGTCATAGCGAGCGGTTGAGCGGCCTTAGCATATCATTAGCATTACACTTTGATTGGTTGAACGGCCCACAGGACAACCAGACACTTAGCATATTAGGCTTTTTTTATATAGGATTCTTCAACATAACGTTTTTAGTTTCCAATCAAAAATAATGGACAGAAGGGAAAAAAAGGAACCATAACAGACAAACCAAGAGAACTAAGAGCTAATAGAAAAGTCCAACAGAAGATCAAGATAATACACTTATCAAACACAGACTTTAAAAAGAATAACTATGCTTAGCATATTCAGAAAAATTAAAAAACAATTTTGAGAATGAGACAGGAAATTGTAAACTACAAAAGAAAAAACCAAATGTGCATTCTAGAACTGAAAAACTCAGTGGGTGACTTTAAAAGCAGCCTACATACTGCTGAACAGAGAACTAGTGAATGAGAAAATAAAAGAAGCATGGAGGTGAAGGGATGGCGAAGCAGGAGACTATAAGAGAAAGAGGAAATGTTGTCAGAAGAGTTACATACTTAAAACCAGAATTCTAGTGAAAGAAAACTGGCCCAAAGTAATACCTAAAAAGTTAAAGTCTGAAAATTTTCTGAAGCTGATCAGAGATTAAAGTATAAATTTAATAAGTTTTAAAAACACCAAGATACATTTTTTTTAAAATCACTCTGGCCCTAGCTGGTTTGGCTCAATGGACAGAGCGTCGGCCTGAGGACTGAAGGGTCCCAGGTTCAATTCCCACAAGGGCACATGCCTGAGTTGTGGGCTCGATCCCCAGTAGGGGGTGTGCAGGAGGCAGCCAATCAATGATTCTCTCTCATCACTGATGTTTCTATCTCTTTCTCCCTCTCCCTCCTGTCTAAAATCAATAAGATATATATCTTTTTAAAAATCACTCTGGAGCACACTAGTGCAAAACTGCTGAAAACAAGCAACAAAGAGAAGAATCTTAAAATCAGAGAATAGGTGGAAATGACCTGCAAAAGAGCAACAGTTAAACTGACAGGAAAGTTTTCATCAGGAAAAACAGAAGCCTGGAATCAACAGAATATCTTAAAAGCAATAAAGAAAAATAACTGCCAACTTAGAATTCTATACCCATATCAAAAATATGAACTAGATAGGAAGATGGCTGCCGACGGGAAGGCAAACTGCAAGATAGTGTGAGAGAGAGAACAAAAAGAGAGCGTGTGGATGTACGGGGAATGTATATTTGTGGGTGAGGGACAGCTATACTCGTTGGGGACTGCCGGACCAGTCTCCCCTGACCGAGCAGCCTCCATTGCTGCTGAAATTTCTCCCGGAGTGACCAGCTCTGCTGTGGAGACCATGCCATCTTGAAGGGGAGAGTGCCTGTTATCAGAAGTCTATACAGCCCGGGTCTCTACAACCACAACACCCAGCAACCAGCTGTGAACCCAGGAACACTGGATCTCTAGCAGTGTGAATACGCAGACTCGGATGAGCTCTGCACCTTCTCACGGAAAGGTCAGATTTTGCCTAGGGAATGGTGAGGTCTGTGATCCAGGCCGGAGAGAGAAAAATGCTCGAATGGGATCTAGAGGTTCAGGAAGTCTGCACCCCACAAAATCCACAGCCGTTGGGGCTAGCATGATCCACGAATGTGGAAGGGGATCCGTAGGGCTGCTGGCAGAAGTGAACTGTAAAAATCAACCCATAGCTGGACTGGGCGCAAAAAGGCAGCCTGAAATTTTTACCAGTGTGCCGGCTGCTTAGTGCCAGGGAAAAAAGCGTGCAGTGCCAAGGGTAAAAGTTGCAAGTTCGTGCACTTACTCTGGCTCTTTTTTTCTGTTTAAATCCTTGCTTTTGATTACTAAGCCCAGTACACAGGATCACCCAATTGGGGACACTCTAAGAGACTACAGGGGAAAGCTGTTTCTGTGGAACCTGAGGATCAGAGTGGGGAGAATCAGCTCTGGGGCAGTCCATTCTCCCAAACCAGTATTAAGTGTGACAGGGGAAACAAAACCTAAATACTGGCTAGAGAGGACCTATAACCCCAGAGGTCAATTCAGAAACGCTGCCACCGAGGGGTGGAATCACAAATTGACCCTTGTGTAAATACAAATAAAGGAATCTAAGAAACAAAGAAATACTGCCTGCTTGAAAATCAGGACTGTGGCTTACAATACAGAGGAGCAATAGAACACAGGGAACTTCAATACTGTCCTGACTACCTACAGGAAACAGGCGTAACAAACAGTACAGTAGAGGAAGTAAATGACTTTCACTACTGCACATTTTTATTTTTTCATCTTTTACCTAAGAAACTAATTTTTTTTCTTTTTTTCTCACTTGGTGTTTACCTTTTTAATTATATTTTTACTTTTAATCAGTATTATTATTACTACTACTATTTTACCTTTATTTTTAAAAAAGTATTTTATTTTGTTTATTTTATTTTGGGATTAGTGTTCTACATTCTATTTTCATTTTTCCTTTAACATCATTTTACTCTATCTCAACTTTACCTTTATGCCAACACGCTCTCCCTCATTTTTCCCATTTGTTGTTCTGTTTCTCTTACCCTAATCCTGTTTTAGATTTTACCTATTCCTTCTTTTTACCCTGTTAAAAATTCATCCTACTTATATATCTAATTTCTGATCCCCTGCTCTAAGTCCATACACACCTCTCCTCCTCTTTCTTTACTACCCAATTTTTTTGTCTTTTTTCTCTTCCCTTTTTTTGTTTGTTTTTGCTGTTCTTGTTATTATTCTTGTTTTGTTTTGTTTTTTTGGGGGGGGGGTTGTTATAGGTTTTTGTGTTTTATTTTGTTTTGATTTGCTTTCTTTCTCTCTGTCCTATTGTTGTTTGCTTGATTGTTGATTAGATTGGGGATTTTTTGTGCTTGTTTGTGAGACTTTCTCTTTTTTTTGTTTCTGTTTCTGTTTATTTTTTGCTTCTGTTTTTCCTCTCCTTGCTTCTTATTAGTTGTTTGTAGTTTCATTCATCTCTGGGTTTTTGTCATTTACATTTTTTGGGATTAGTGGTTGTTCTATTGGAGAACTCTCCCCATATAGTTTTTCCCCACTTCTTTTTTTACTCTCTTTCTTTTCCCTCCTACTTTTTTCCCCTTTTCTCAGTATCATTTTTGCACTCCTTTCTTTCTTTCTTTCTTATCACCTAATTCTCTTTTCTCTAGTGGTCACCTTTATTTGGGGTTACTAGTATCGTGAATACATTTGTGTTCAGTGCCTTGTGCGTTGTGCCTTGTTGTGTTGTATTTTGTGCCTTTAAATCAATGCAGAAAAGAGAGAG